CCCCCCCCCCAATAAATTGGCCAAGCAAGGGAAAATCCGAGATTTGAATATTATAGGTTTGAGTACTCTACTCGGCTTATTTGATTTACTAGGTTTAATTTATTATTTAATCTATTAATTTAGTAACACATATATTGTTAGAATGAAAGCTACATTATAGAGTAAATTCGCCCTACAGGCTATAGCCAAGCACTTTAAGTCTCCAAAATAAGCACTTCTTTTTAAATTAAAAAAAAGGCACTTTTAGTTTAGTAGAAGCTTGTAACAAATTATTACTCAACGAGGGAAAAAAAGTAATGTTCTGGACTGTTCTGATTTTCAAGAATTTGCAATGTTGCTATAGATCTCATAAGTTTCTTGAAAGCTACAGATATGATCAAAAGTTCAGTGACATTTGTTGGCAAACAAATGGGTTCAGTCACTTTCTTTCCATGCAAAGCCAATCTACTAGGTATTATTACTGATAGTTTCTGGTTACATGTCACTTTAATAGTTTATCACAGGACTGCATTTTCTTTCTTTTGCATAAATTAGTACTTTCTCCACTTTTTGGCAAAATTTATTAGTTTTATATTATTCACGAAAGAGTTGTACCTAAATCAAAGATCATAGTTCTTCTTCTCCACTCCTCCCTTTCTTTTCCTTGTGGTGTATAATTTGTAGTATCATAGTATTGATGTGGTGGACCAAATAGGAAAAGGACTCTATGCACTTTGGAAGATTATATAGGAGTTATTTATGTGATAGGAAAATGACTCTATGCACTAATTGCAAATTTATTAGTTTGCCTAGCTTTGATGGGTTGATGATGATAGATGGGGATTTTTCCTTAGCAATGGGGCAAATAAATCATATGGTGGAGCTGGAGCTGGCTGCTTCACGAAATTTAATAAAAGAAAAAAGAAAGAAAAAAGAAAGAAAATAGCATATAGTAAGATTTTAGAAATTTTCTACAACTAGTTATAGTAGGTCAAGTTACACATGTTTAGTTCATAGGCTTGATGCATAATTTCGTATCTCCTCCTCCAGACATCACATAGGGGGAAAGAACTCATACCTCCCACGTTGGTGTAGTATATTTTCATCCTCAAACTTTCCACACGCTAGCAACTTTATCCAATGTATTATTTTTCACCATCTTCCTTCCCGTGCAACGCCATACAAGGGAGAAAAATCCACACCACCTCCGTTATATTGAGGATTTTTTTTTTTTTTTTTTTTTTTTTTTTTTTTTTTGGCTATCTAAACAAACTTTATTCACCAAGTAATAGTTATGTACAAGACTCAAACAAAAAAAACAAAAAAAAAAAGTTCCTTGGACATATGTCCCAAGTATCAGTCATAACAAGTAGGGACTACACAATCACCTTTGCTATCACCTATAGAATTAGCCTTCTAAACAGACGTAGATTTAGTTCAGGGATAATACTTCATCTCTCTCAACTTGCAAACAATGCTTGGTTTCTATAAATAACTTCTGAAGTTCTCTGCTTCCTCTGAAATCCCTCTCCTGCCAGATGTAATAGATACAAGCAGTAACAATAGTTCTGTATAAGTTCAGCTGGACCAGTCTTTCCCTTCATGTGATTCACTGCCCAGTTCATCTCCTCCATTATATTGATGTTCATCATTTACTCTTTCAATTCTTACTTCATTGTGACCACTTCACTTGGTGTATGTATGCTCTTTTGCCGTAGTAGATTGTAGGGATTATACAACTTACTATGATCGGGTGAGGTCAAAACTCAAAAGCATTTTTGGCTTATGAATTGGGAGTACTAAAGCTTAACATGCTGATTGCATCCTTCTGTAGGAGCTGGAAAGAATTTTCACTCTTGAAAGGTAACATTGTTACTTTAATTATTTTCTCTGTTGCTTCGTTTAAATGGAGAATTTGGTAAGATTGACTTCATTACTTCATATGTATTGCGATCTTTCAAATTACCTCCTCAATATTCAGATATTCTAATCATTGTACTACTGAATAATGAATAAACAAAAAAGCAGATATAACATAAGCCAGAACAGGAAAGCTCTCATAATTCAATCATGTTACTGATCTTCAAGAGTTTTTACAGCATTTAAACCTTTCAAACTCTGTACATTTTTGACAGCTTAGGTTCAAGCCTACATTTCTGCAAATCATTGAACTGATAATGGATCCGAATCTATACAAATGATTTGTTGTTAAGGGATCCTAATTTGGTTGAAAAAAGATACTAAGGAGAGTACAAATGGAGTTAATGTTCTGTATAATCTTGAGCTAACTGGTATCTGCATAAATATTCATCTGTATAAAACAATACCTAACAGCAGCAAGGCTTGAATCCCTTTCTTTAACATATGACTGATTATTAGATCAACAGCTCTTTAGGTGTTAACCCAGTAGAGGTTCCTCCAGAGGTTTCAATGTGGGTGTCTGGAGGTCCATACTGCAGGTGACTATCACCCCAAGTAGTGCACAAACCGCTGGAACGAGACCTAGTGCATACCGATTGAGGGAGAAGTATGGGCATCTCGTACTGCAGTTGTGCAATTCCGGAGAGGATCCTGCATAAAAAGGTGACAGTTGCCAAAGTAAATAAAGAGTTATCTGATGAAAAGAAACTACAAAAAATCTAAGTAAGTAAGAAAAGTGAAATGAATTCCGTACCCTATTTTACAGATTTCTTAACAGAAACTTTATTGTAACAAGTCTATAGTAAAGTAAAAGGATCTCTGCTAGAGGTTATTACAAAGGAATAACGAAAATAAGAGTTCTTGGCTGATAAAAAGGCGAAACTGTTAACTACTTAACTCTGTTAATGAACTTAAGGTGGAGCGAATTCATTGGTTTTCCACAGACACGCTCAGTAATGGATGTTGAAGAATTAGAACGACTACACATAGAAGCTGGCCATTGAACAAGATAACAGAGAAATACAGGAGCAAATGCTTACTCTGATATGACTCGAGAATGAACAAAGCCAACCCACATATCATTTTATCCAGAAAACTCAATGATCCGTACACAAAAGCACAGCCATTTAGATCTCGGCCAACCAAGACACTTTGCATGCCCACTCCAGTCACCTGTTAAGCATATAGGAAAGAGGTGCACATGAAGATTGTAATTGTAGGCTTTCTGATCACATTGCATGTTTTACAATTAATCAAGCATTTTAAATCATTATTTCTTCCAATCCATGTCACAGCAAAGAGCCTGGCTTCCTCATTGAATAACAGAAACTACATACATGTATGCACTTGGCTTTTTTGAGAATGGTGAGGAATATATACATGTATGCAAGGCTTAATGTAACTGAACATAATTCCACAACTCAGAATATTATTGCCCACTCTTCAGTTAAACAAGTCCATGGTTAGTTAAGAACTTAATAGATACTCAATGAGTGTCAAATGTTAAGCAAAAACCACAAGAAATGGCTAGACCTCCTTTGTGAAAAGAGAGTCATTGAGAAATAAATGGAAAATTGTCCTATCTAAGGAGATAAGTATTTCCACATATATAAGGTCACAATTTAATTAACCCACAGTAAGTCCATCAATGCTTAAAGGAGTATTTGGTCCATATAAATTTATCATAAAGGAATTTTGCGCTTAAAGATAGCCCGAGCTGTTCCAAAATGGTTTTGTATCATGCTTTGATTAGAAATTGATGACCATCTAGAAATTGATATGCTACAACAGGATAAAGTGCTAAAATAAAGTTTCAAGACTCAAGATTCAACGTAAGCTCACAGAATATTAACCGTACCATTATCAAGGCATTTGCTATGCCAATCAATACCGACAAGATATACATAAGGGCATTCATGTTTCTTGGAAGCAAGAGTATTCCTGTGCCACAAAGTACCCAAAGGAGACCTCCTACAGTATAAAAGCCCTTCAATCGCTGGCTTGTCCATGTAATCTCCTGCATATAACACAACTATAAGGGAAACAAAAGAGGCAAAAAAAAAGGCTTTGGAAAATTCAGAGATAGAACTGACAAAAAAGTTCTGTTTTGTATGGCACCTGTAGCAGGACAGATACAACGAAACTGCAGATATAAATGATTGCAGGGACCTATCCACACCAAATAAGAACAGGAACAAGAGTTAGTACTATATTTCTTCCCTTGCCAGTTCCTAAATATCAAGAGTTAGTGATAACTTGGTTGGGATACCAAAGCTTTTGAAGACTGACTCATCTGCAGGTCATTGATCACATAGAAAGCAAGAAAGGCCTGCAACCCAAACAATTATAAGAACTGAATCGGTTAAATCCATTTCAGTTTTCTGATATCTATCCAAAAGGGCCAAATCCAAAACAAATAATATTTACCTGGGAGACATTAGTCACAAGTCTGGTAAGCAAGTAAACAAGAGCAACTTGGTGATATAAGATCTTCTTAAACCAATACATCCAAGAAATTCTAACATAACCTTTGACACGAGCTTCTAAATTCAACCTGGCCAAGAAAGGCATATATTAGTGATTAACATCTAAGCAGAGAATTATCAAGAACCTGCCCTTATATTCAACCTAACTTGTTCTCCCATTCCAAAATTAGCATAATTGTCATTTTCTTTTCTGAAAGTACATAACCTAACTTGTTCTTCTGGGATGGAATATTATTTTTCAGCTGGGTTTTTCACAAATGAAGCTATATTTTATGGAGGAGGAAGAAAAGCTGAGCTATATGCATAATCTGGTTAGTGGTTAGCTCCATCAAAATTCTCAAATAAAGTGATTTTATCTCCAGTTCATCCAACCAATGAAATAATAGCTGTGAGAAGGCACGGGAGAAAATATGTTATTGATATTAGATGATAAATACAATACAAGAGGTCCCTATTTATAGCTATACACTACAAGGAGATATTACTCCTCTTCCAATGAGGGACAAGACTACACTATATATATATCTATAAACTAACACTCCCCCTCAAACCGGTGCATACACATCATATGTACCGAGCTTGTTACACATGTAACTAATACGAGAACCAGTAAGAGACTTAGTGAAAATATCTGCTAGTTGATCATTCGACTTTACAAACTTTGTAACAATATCTCCTGAAAGTATTTTTTCTCTGACAAAGTGACAGTCGATCTCAATGTGTTTAGTCCTCTCATGGAACACCGGATTTGACGCAATATGAAGAGCAGCTTGGTTATCACACACTAGTTCCATCTTGCTGATTTCTCCGAACTTTAACTCCTTGAGCAACTGCTTGACCCAAACTAACTCACACGTCGCCATAGCCATGGCCCGATATTCGGCTTCGGCGCTAGATCGAGCAACTACATTCTGTTTCTTGCTCTTCCACTAGACCAAATTACCTCCTACTAGAACACAATATCCAGACGTAGAACGTCTATCAAAAGGTGATCCTGTCCAATCAGCATCTGTGTACCCAACAATTTGCTCGTGGCCTTGATCCTCGAATAGTAATTCTTTGCCTGGAGCTGACTTTATATACCGAAGAATGCGAACAACTGCATCCCAGTGACTATCACATGGAGAATCCATAAACTGACTTACAACACTCACCGGAAAAGAAATGTCAGGTCTAGTCACTGTGAGGCAATTCAATTTGCCAACCAACCTCCTATATCTCGTAGGGTCTCTAAGAGGCTCCCTATGTCCAGGCAGAAGCTTAGCATTCGGATCCATAGGAGAGTCAATAGGTCTGCAACCCATCATTCCAGTCTCCTCAAGAATGTCTAAGGCATACTTCCGCTGTGAAATAACAATACCTGAGCTAGACTGAGCGACCTCAATACCTAGAAAATACTTCAATCTGCCCAGATCCTTAGTCTGGAAGTGCTGAAAGAGATGTTGCTTCAGATTAGTAATACCATCCTGATCATTACCAGTAATAACAATATCATCAACATAAACCACTAGATAAATACACAGATTAGGAGCAGAATGCCGATAAAACACAGAGTGATCAGCCTCACTACGAGTCATGCCGAACTCCTGAATAATTGTGCTGAACTTACCAAACCAAGCTCGAGGGGACTGTTTCAAACCATATAGTGACTTGCGCAATCTGCACACACAACCATTAAACTCCCCCTGAGCAACAAAACCAGGTGGTTGCTCCATATAAACTTCTTCCTCAAGATCACCGTGGAGAAAAGCATTCTTAATGTCTAACTGATAAAGAGGCCAATGACGTACAACAGCCATGGACAAAAAGAGACGAACAGATGCTACTTTAGCCACGAAAGAGAAAGTATCACTATAATCAAGCCCAAAAATCTGAATATATCCTTTTGCAACAAGACGAGCCTTAAGCCGATCAATCTGGCCATCCGGGCCAACATTGACTGCATAAACCCAACGACAACCAACAGTAGACTTACCTGCAGGAAGAGGAACAAGCTCCCAAGTGTCACTCGCATGTAAAGCAGACATCTCGTCAATCATAGCATGTCGCCATCCTGGATGAGATAGTGCCCCACCTGTAGACTTAGGGATAGAAACAGTGGATAAAGAAGATATAAAAGCATAATGTAGTGATGACAGACGATGATAACTTAAACCGACATAGTGGGGATTAGGATTAAGTGTGGATCGTACACCTTTGCGGAGTGCAATTGGTTGACTAAGAGGAGACAAGTCCGCAGTAGGTGCAGAATCTGATGCGGGGCGTGAATCACCTGGGCCTGATGCTGGATGTGGACGACGATGATAAGTCAAGAATGGTGGAGCTGCAGAAGGTTGAACTGGATTATGTGGAGGAACTGGAGCTATAGGTGGTGGAGCTACAACCGTAGCTGTAGGTGGTGGAACTGGAGCTATAGGTGGTAGAGCTACAACTGGAGCTATAGGTGGTGGAGCTACAACTGGAGCTGTAGGTGGTGGAGCTGGAGTGACTGAATCTCCAAAAGATGAAACTGGTAGTACCTCAGAAATATCTAAGTGATGACCTGAACCTGTGAAGTATGATTGGGTTTCAAAGAAGGTAACATCAGCGGACATAAGGTACCGCTGGAGGTTAGGAGAGTAGCATCGATACCCCTTTTGTGTTCTCGAGAAACCCAGAAATACGCACTTAAGAGAACGAGGAGCTAACTTATCTGTTCCTGGAGTAAAGTTATGGACAAAACAAGTGCTTCCAAAGATACGGG